ACTAAATGCTTCGCGACATATCGATAGCCTTTCAAATATATCTTCGAACCTCTTCACTTCTGACTTCTGATTTGTCTGGGTTGGCACATTTTGATTATGAATGCGTTACGTGTAAAGACGTTGTCAAACTCCGAACACCTGTGGCATGTTTATGCTCAACTTGTTTAACCTGCTTAAAATTGTGTTATTCAAGGAATTCTTAACAAGTATATCATTTGGAATGTCTCTTATTTTCACTATATCTCAGAACGTCTGATATCTCATGTTTTGAACGAAGGTTTGGTTTTCCTTATTGTTTAAATTTAACCACGTTTTGTATGATTTCACTAGGACTGATATATCTACCAATACTGAACGCTTTTCGTAAAGCGGGGGAGAGTTCAGTTTCAGTTTGGAAAGGACATGAGGCTTGATGGCCTGTGTTATTCCTGATAACACTTGTCTCTCAGTTGATCCAACTTTCTTTTGAATGAGTCGACGGATGGAGCCTCAACCACGTGCTGAGATAATGAATTCCACTTGTTGATGATGCGATGGGAAAGTCGATAGTCAGCTAACAAGTAATTTGTTTTTGGCTTGTGAACTTTTTTGGAGTGTTCTTGTAAATTCTCTGTTTTGGAAGACAAGAAAAGTGAGGGCATATCACGTGCAAATATATCACTAAGCAATATGAAGACTGTAATCAAGTCGCCTCTAGTTCTGCGATATGACAACGGGGAAAGGTTCAGCTTGGCCAGTCGAAATTCATACGGAAGCTTCGCTATTCCGAGAATCAGCTTAGTCGCCGTTCTCTGAAACATTTCCAGGAGCCCACTATCTTCTTTTAAGTAGGGGCTAGCCGCTTGTATGCAGTACTCAAGTTTAGGACGAACGAACACTGTATACAAAGTCAAAAACGTTTTAGCGTCGACATGACTAAAACCTCTACGTATTGACCATAAGGTTCTAAAACCTTTGGCGGCTATTGCACGGCAGTGTGCAGTAGTCTTTAAGTCTTGATTAACGATAACTCCTAAGTCATTATATGTCTGGACGACAGGTAGCTCAGTGTTATTCATCGAGTATGTATCTGTGCCTTGATGACCGATATGCATCACAACACACTTGGAAGTATTTATCGGCAACTGCCAGGCTTTAGACCATTCAGATAATTTCTTCAGGTCATTTTGAAGTTCTAAGCTATCACCCTTACATTGTATCGTTCTCCATATCTTGACATCGTCAGCATATAGCAAGACCGATGATGATAGAAGACGAGGAAGGTCATTTACATACAAGAGGAATAGCACTGGTCCCAAGACTGTACCGTGGGGCACTCCACTAAGTACAGCTTCCCAGCTAGATAACTTTAAGTTCACCTGTACTCTTTGTTGGCGCCCAACTAAGAAGTCTTTTATCCACATCAATAGACTGGCTCCAATTTCAACATTTCTTAGCTTATATAACAGCCGGTTGTGTAGTCTACGTCTACAGGTAACTTTTGGTCCTTAAGAGCGCACCAGATTTCACGAGTCACTAATAAGTTAGCGAGACAAGAATAACCTATTCTGAAGCCGTTCTGCTTCTCCGAGAGGATCCGGTTTTTATCGAGATACTTAAACAGCTCCTTCAGAATAATCTTTTCTACGATTTTAACAACCACACTAGTTGGGCCAACGGGTCGATAATTCTGAGGTTTGTGTTTCGTACCTGTTTTGAAGACAGGACTAACTATGGCGTTTTTCCAATTTTTTGGTAAACGACCCTGCCTAACGGATAGGTTAAAGCATATACTTAAAGGGTTCGCAACGAAGTTAGATAATTCCTTCTGTACCCTAGGACGTAATTCATCGGGCCCCGTGGATTTATCTACGTCAAGCTTATTCAGTAGACCAAATACATCGAGTTCTTTAATGGTCATGCTATCCAGTGTATGTGTGGGGGAATCTGTATGCGCTGACGGGAAGGGTGCTTCTATGGTATATACATTGCTGAAGTAGTTCGAGAACACTTGAGCCTTACCAAAGTCGTCTTCCACTATTGATGCAGCAGTACTGTCTCCTCACAGTGCAAGAATATTTCCTCTTCTTTTCGTCCTTCGGTTTAAATAGGAGTACAAACGTTTAGGACATTCTATGGATTCCTTAACAATTTTTTCTTCGTACAACTTTCTAGACTTACAGAGGGTCGAGGCACAGCTATTCCGAGCTTTTCGATACTGATATTTTGTCTCATCAGTCCCCAGTAACCTAAATCAATTCCACATTTTCCTTTTCTTACGGAGAAGGATGCGGATCTCCCTACTGAACCATGGTGGGGAGTTTCTTGGCCCCCTTGGTAAAGTTCAAGGGATGTGGGGTGTGGTGACGTTTAAGTATGAATTTCGAAATGCGTCCCAGGCCGTTTCAATTGAGGACTCTGGGTCTGTTGTTCAATCTACTAACGATGCTGATTGCATGATATCCGGTATGTTTGCTTTCCATACGTTAGGTCTGGACTGGACTGACGCGTACTCGTGATTGACAGTTATATGGAAGTCGAAAGTTAAAACTGTGTGATCACTTTTACCTAGGGGTGGCATTTAATGGAGGTTCGCAACGTCATCTTCATAGTGAGTCAATATAAGATCTACTAAGGATGATTTGAAGTCCGAGTCATACTTAGTTGCTTCTTTCACATGTTGCACTAGGGCACATGTGATAACCGCATCAACTAGTTCCTGCTCGAAGGAGTTATCTGATGATTCAGTTCGCAAATTTTCCCAGTCTACCATAAGTGCATTAAAGTCCCCTAGGATTAGACATCGAGCACTTTGCGACCAAGTATTGAGACTGCTTAGCAGGACCTCATTTACCTCACAGCTTGGACTGCGATAGACCAAATCAATCAGCAGCTCTTGTCATTTGTATTTCGAGCGGCAACTAACTAATTCACAAGTCCAACTCTCATGGGATATACTATCGATAATGGAAAATGGGATAGCATTCCTAACGAATAGAGTTACTTCCCCTCGTTTACGCCTTCGCATTCTTTCGACCCTTACTAACATAAAACCCTCGAAATCAAGTTCCATACTATCTATAGACTGTGTCAGCCAGGTTTCTGTAACTGCGACTATGTCTGGCTTTGTAGAGTCAATCTTTACACCTAGTTCCGATCGCTTATTAAGTAAGCTTCGGGCATTAGTGTAGCAGATCCGAAGCCTATTTAAGTGGCTTCGTGCTTCACCCAGAGTGGCTTCGGCATCATTCTCTGTCGAAGCCTTACAACCCAAAAATTCACAATTTCTAGGACCTTTTCGGCAGCGTCTAACCTAAGTTGTAGTTCCTTTTCGGCTTCCCGTCTTTTTACACGGTCTGCCAATGGCAAGTCCTTAAGGATAAAAACTCCTGAACCCTTTAACTTATGTCCATTCTGTAAAATTAGGTCGCGTTCGTTTAAAGATTTAAATACTACCTTAGGCAGTCTGGATCGATTTGGTTTCAGGTGCTCTAGACTACCTAATCTGTACACTTTTAGCAAGGTGACCCCGGTGATATTGTGAGGCATGGGTTGATTAAGCAGCTGTCATGCTCAAAACGAGCTTTTGGTTCGGAGCTCTGACTCTCCTTGATTCTATGAAAAATAACTGATCTGTCGCTGTGATCAGCTTTCGATTTTTCGACTACTTTTACGGGGGAAGGGTTCCCTTTTATGTACGTCGTTTCTTCCTTACAACCTGTACTCATTCGTCAACGGTGCTAGGAGAAGCGACAACAGCTGCGTCAAACCTACTGTTGGATTCCGGAGGGTTATCGACGACCTGGGAGGTCAGGTTATGTTTCCCGCTAGAAACCGATCGAGCCCTGCGATTGCGGCTTCTAGGTGTTTCCTGCCTGATATCATTTGGAAGACGGGGAACAGAAAACCTTCTTTTCTCGCGTTTTTGTTTAAGACAGACCTCTTTGGAGACTGTTTTTCCATCTTCGACCGGTGTGATTCACCTTTTTTCTAGTCCACCTGAGCTTGCTACATATCAATTTGCCTGTCAACAGAGCGAGTGCTGTTTGATGTGTCCCGACTACGCTTGCTAAAACACTTTTTCGCAGAATCTAGCAGTGAGATGTCCTCGGTTAACAAGCTGTTTGCATCCAAACAGCACTGTTGACAAAGCCAAACGCAACCCTTTTTACTGCACCTTTTGAAAGTCGCAGGCGTTAAAGTCGTGCAAACTTCGTTGTACCAGCCTTTGCACTCATCGCACTGCATGCCGCTTTCAACGGGATAACGACAACGAACGTTGGCAACTGCTTTTTGCACTGTCCGGTAATTAGCAAGGGGTTCTTTTCAAAACAAAAAGAGCTAGGTGCAATAATACTCAGGGATAAAAAAGTGATATATGACCAAAAAGTTAATGGACTGTAGATTGTTAGGACCAAAAGTACTAACAGATACAGTAGAAAAATGAGGTACTCAAGAGTACCGACGATAAACTAATTGAGAAACAGTAAACGATACTCTAGTCGAATACTTTTACTGAAATAGATTCATTTAAAGTGAAAACAGTAGTCTTGATACGTAATGAACGATCAAAACAATAGAATTTACTCAGCGAGGAAAAATACCACTGTCCTTTTAATTAGTGCTCACGGAGAGAGTAAGAGCATGATTTACATTGGATAGTTCACTTCGTTCATTTAAATCTATCTTCTATGGACACACTTTTATTACGATTTTGAACTTGTCGGGTTAAAATAGCAAACAAATATAAAGTTTGAGCCTGAAATGTAATTCACAAAAATTTTTATGCTATTTCGTTCAAAATCTAATCAATAAGAAAATGAAATCACGTTCCATTTTTTATTCAGTTTGTGTATTGAACGTTAGAAACGAAGTGGGCTACAGATTTACGGGTGTTTACTAATTTTTTAAGGTGTTTGAAATAACAATTGCAGTGACCTTGGGTAGCTAATATAGTCTGGGAGTTTTAGAACTCGCGGATTATGGGGGTTTCTCCGGTTCTGTACTCTCATTCTTGAAGTATGACAAACCAGAAATTAAATGAGGTTAGAAACACGTATTGTATTTGTTCGGGTCTTTTTCACGCAATTTAATGTCTTGTTTACTGAGGTAAGATAACTTAGGCTCTTCTACAAACGCCCATAACTTTTATCATAAGGTATATTATTGTCTGGTCTCTTCGAATAATTCAAGTTGTTTTGTGCTGTTGATAAATTTAGTTTTTTAAAGTAACGACGTAAAATTTTCACCTACACAGATTATTGCACAGAGTACAAAAAGCCATTTTCTAGCTATCATTTAGTTCATAGATATTTTCGATCTGGAAGTGGAAGTTTTTAATAACAGTGATTATTTCCTGTAGATATTGCTGTACCGCATATGTGGTGTCCAAATTTAACTTCTAGCACCTGTGCTAATTAACAGTTGTCTCATACTCATACGGTTAACGGATGTCTAACAGTTTTTACAGCAAATTTTCCCCACTGATTATTCGCTACATAGAATCATCTTGTCAGCATATCTTACTAAGAACAACACGTAATGGAACGTACAGATTCTTGGAGGTTTTTCAGAATTTGGGAATCATAGTATTATCTAGTCGTAAATGCCATGTACATAATTAATTCAGGGCGTGAAAGGTATAGATATCTTATTTTTCATGTTATAGGCATAGTAATTGGTGTAACTAACTTTCAACTATCAATTTCGCACTATTCATCAATTATTTCGCTCTATTATATCTGTTATCACCACCTTTCACAAAGCTTTTGTTGCAAGTCAGTGGTATTGATGTCCTTTCAATTACTCAGTTGTTTTAAAATTGGATAATTGAAGTATTGGTTGCTGATTAAGTCTCACAATCATTCTGCTACAAACGGTGTCCGCGAACAACTCAATTCATGTACGCTTTATATATATGACTCAACTCACAGTTCTTTCGGTCCAAGTTGCTGTTCTTTATGTCGGCGCATAACGTAAAAATTAGCGAAACTCAAAGACCTGTAACCATTGTCTCGTGGATCATAAAAATTTAAACAAGGCAGAGTAATATGATGCATGAAATTGCATTGTAACTCGTCTTTCGTAAGAATAAGGTAAAGAAATGCATTCTGACTACTGAGTTTGATTGTGAATCATCTCACTTAAGCACGCTAAGAAGTGCATGACGTTGTGGTCTGCACATTTTGACGTCATTTAGTCCAGCAGTGTGATCTTATAAATTATTCCCATGTTTTCGCTTCGTCGCTTCCCAACCCCATAATCCCATCATCATTGAAGATCGATGTAAAGAGTGTTTAGGCATGCATTCACTACCTGATTGACCAATTCTATATATCTATATAGTAAATTATACCCAAACTCATAATTGCTAACTTGATGGTTCCACCGTAGAAGAGCAATGGGTCCAAGCCAATCGTAATCGCGTAGTTTACACTGATGTCTAGAAGTCAAAAATGTAAGGATGATCGCAAGAGACCATTTCCGGAGATGGAAAGTGCACAATATTGCTACTCATTGTGGACCTTTGACTCATTTTAAGAAATACATCTTCCTTCAGCCTGTATTTTCACTATTATTAAGCTGAGACTCAACCGTAGCCACTAACTTGACATAATGATCGGGCTTAGATATCTTAACGAACCAGTCAAGCTCTAATGGCTGAAACACATTCATTCCTGGAAGGTTGGTCGGAGTTCTGTAAAACTGAGTGCAGTCCGATAGCGAAGTTTTTCTGATGACTATAGAGTGGTGTGATAAAAGTAAGGTGTTTCCCTCTCAAAGGGGAGGAAGGAGTTAAAAAATGTTACTCCTCACCCTAATCCACACCCCTTTATAAAGTACGGAGCTGGCATGTCAAGGACTCATCACACAAAGTCCGTGGATGATTGACCTCATGAAGTTACTCCTTAAGTTCTGCAGTCACACCTTGATCAACCCAGTTTTTTTTCCAGATCTCTCAACGTAAGTCTCCTACGATGTGGGCAACCGTAAAATGACAACTCTCACTTCTCTAATATCATACGAGATTACCGAGTTCATAATCAAACCCCACCTTCATCACCAAATATTACTCCTACTTACTCCTACGTCCATTATCAACCCTCATTTATCTTTGACTTCTTCAGTATGTGCCACCAATGATAGTAGTCCACATTCACAATATACTATCTCGGGCCTCCTGAATCCACGATTTGAACAACATTTTGGAATATTTTGATGTCTGAACCGTAAGTCAAGTCGAACAACGGACTTCACTGAATGAGACCCTAGAATCAAATGAAAGCTCTCTATCCATGTACTAATGATCAGGTCAGAGCTTATGGTTAGCTATTAACAGAACTGTGAACTTCAAGTGGGGTTGTTCAGGACTAATCCCCTTCCAATTGGTCTGCTTTTCGATGACATAGTTCTGTTTGGTAAAGCTTCTGATAAAATGAAAATTTTCGCCTTGAGCAATGATACAACCATGTTTGGGACGTCCTAATAAATGCAAAATACTGTCTTAGGACTGGTCTACGTTGATCTCCGAACTAGTGACAGAGTGAAGTAGATGAGCGCGTTGACTGTCTCACTTATCTCGGAAGTCTGACCAACCTCAAAAGGTTGGTGTTAGCGGGACATAGACTGGATTAAAGCATGCTCAATGGACGATTGCTTTGGTGCACGCTGATTGGATAAGAATTAGCCAATCAGCACTAGCCGATACTTGGAGAATACTTTGGAATCTTCTCATATAAAAACTTTAAATATACTGACGTTTTCTCTATCGTGCTTCTGACTTCCATCTAACCTTGTTATTTGGAATATAATCTCTTTCCTGTTCAACCGTGTTCTGATTTGGGGACTTCTCGAGTGAATCGGTGTCCGAGAATACTAAGCATTAGGAATAGCCGGGTCATAACCGTAAGAAAGAGATTATAACAGTTGGTGTCTGACGAAATGTCTAAACGGGTCCAGTAAAGCTAGTTAGGATTTGGCAACTTTCATCAGTTGTTGGGTTAGTGAGATATCCGTCTCCTAACCAAACGGGGTGTATGCTGCACAGCGAACCACCATGTTCTACTTCATAAGTATGACACATATTCTGAGAAAGTAAAAGACTCACATAGTCTGTAGATCTGTGATCATAGGTATCTTCAAAGAGTTATTGGTGCTTATTGGAATGATCTAATGAGCAGTGTTAAGATTTGGCTTAGAAATACCTGGCAATGTTGGTTGATGTATTGATGAGGTAGGGAAACTTGGTTGAAAAATGATTGGAATGTGTTATATATGTTAAACCACGTCATACCTTGGTAATTGATGCTTGCTAGTGCAGAAATGGTTTGCAAGAGTTAAATGCGGGAAATGAAACGTGGCATCAGTCCATGAAGTCAGCCCCCAAATGCCTTGGTATGGCTGAGAGCGGGGTGGGTTCGCCCTCCCCCTCGAAATACTCTCACACATGGCCACGCGTATACAGCCTCTGCCAGGGAAGTCCTACTCACTGCCTTCTCGTGGCGAGGGTGTTGTTTACGAAAATGAGAGGACGAAAAGCGAATGTCCAGCGCTTTAACCGGATCCCAAATCAATGGTATACATGGGCTCCAGTATCCTGTGGGAACGAATGGCGTATGAACCAATTCCTTGGTCACCGGCTACCATGGGACTTCATCTCCTCACGATGTTCCACTGCCTTATGGGTTAGACCTTTAGGTCAAAGGCTCGGGGTGTGGCCCCCTAAGAAATCCACCTGCTTCGGTTTTGGCACCCGGGCAGTATCTCAGCCCGCACACAAAAACATGATAAACTGTCTACTTATGAAAAATATTCCTCTCGCTCCAAATAACAATCAAGTGACTCGCATTATTATTATTATTATTATTATTATTATTATTATTATTATTATTATTATTATTTACTACATCATTATTCACCATCTTTTATTCCCACTCTGTTTATACTTATTTGTTCGATTAATACAGCAGCTCGCCTATGGTGGAAATTCGGCTCTATCTAAACGTTCTCGAGTCACTGCTTGGTTGAAAATTGTATGTTACCACCGAATACGAGGACTGAAGCATTGTTTTTGAAACCACATGCACCATTCAAACTTGCTGCCTTCAACGTTCGCACACTTATGCAGGTCGGACAACAGATAGGACTGGCTATGTCTTTAGAAAGTCTTAATATCGATGTTTGTTGTCTATCAGAGACCCGTATTCAAGACTGGTGAAATATTACAAATTCGCGCTCCGTCTGTCGCTTCAAAAAGCTTGTTTTACATGCGCTTATCCGGGGACCCTGTGGCATCTTCGTCTGGCCTTGCTGGCGTTGGTGTCGCACTAAGTGCTAGAGCTGAGGCAACACTAATCGATTGGATCCCCATTAACAGCCGGTTATGTGCTGTTAGATTAGAAAGTTCCATCAAAGTGAGAAGAAATCGGCGTGAGAAACGATGTCTTCTCGTCATCTCCGCTTATGCCCCTACAGATTGCAGCCCGGATGCAATCAAGTAGGAATTCTACCATCAGTTAACTGTTCTTCTCCAGAAAGTGCGTTCGACAGATATTGTAGTACTAGCCGGAGACTTGAGTGCTCAGGTCGGCCGTCTAGGCACAGAAGAGAGTCGTTTAGGTGGCCAATGGGGACTTGTTGGTCGCAGGACAGATAACGGGGACCGTCTACTGCAACTTTGCACAGACCACAACCTGTTTCTGGCCAGCACTAACTTTCGGCACAGTCATCGTCGATGTGCCACCTGGCATCCTCCTTCTGCATCTCAAGCCTGGACTCAGATTGATCACATTGCGATCAGCTACCGCTGGCGTGGTTGTGTACAAGACTGCCGCTCCTTTTGGAGTACCTATCTGGACTCTGATCATGCCTTGGTCTGCGCCAATCATACCTTACTTTTCAGTGGCCAACGAAGTGACCACCATCAAAGGATTGATGTTAGCATGCTGGTTGCAACTTCTGTTGCTAGTAAGTATCGAACCGAGCTAGGTTCTAGGCTAGCTACCATTCCACCGAAAAGTATAGATGAGCATTGGTTGCAATTGCATGACGCCATGAAAATGGCAGGTACAGTCAGTTGTGGGTTCGCGAAACGTCCCGCTTATGAGCACTGGGTTTCTTCTGGTTCCTTACAACTCATTGAAGCCCGTCGGTCTACTCCGGGTGACCGTGAGTTTGACCATAAACGAAGGATGTTACGTAATGAAATTGGGCAAAGCTTGCGTAAGGACCGAGAAGTCTGGTGGTCAGAGCGTGCTAATGATCTGGAAGCAGCAGCTGCATCTGGTAATTATCGGAAGCTCTTCCAACTCATCCGAGCCACTGGCAGCAAGAAGTCTGGTGTGAGCGAAACAATCTGCGAGGATGGCGGGATGCCAATCACCAACATCCATCGACGTCTTGGACGATGGGCAAAATTTTTTAAAGGGCAGTTCAACTGGCCTGCTACTCCGGCAACATCGGTCAGACTGTCCTGCCCTCCATGGCCGGTGACGACTGATCCACCAAATGAGGAGGAAGTTCGCAAGGAACTCCAACTCTTGAAGCGCTACAAATCACCTGGCCCAGATGACTTACCTCCGGCTCTTTTTAAAGATGGTGGTGACTTTTTGACTAAGGAACTGACGATGTTGTTTACAATGGTCTGAGAACTAGAGTGTTCCAACGTCATGGAATGAGTCGATAGTTGTCCCTATTTTTAAGAAGGGTTCACGTCATACTTCGTAGGTTGTTCAAAACCCGAGAAAGATTGACTCGCGAGGAACAGGCTGGTTTTCGTTCCGGTCGGGGATGTGTTGATCATATCTTCACCCTCCGCCAAATGTTGGAACACCGCCATACTTATCAAAGGCCAACAATCGCAGTGTTTCTTGACATTAGGGCTGCCTTCGATCCGTTGGACAGGACTGTTCTCTGGGATTGTCTATTGAAGAAGGGTGTGCCTGAGAAGTTTATTAACATCCTAAAAGCCCTATATACAAATACCAGGCAGAATGAGGGCATACAACCTCCTCTCTCCATTGTTCCATTCGAGCAGTGTGGTTAGGCAGGGTTGCCCAATCTCACCATTCCTCTTCAACTTTGCCATCGATGACACTCTGGAAACAGCTCTGATGAATGTAAGTAATGGCGGTGTGGATCTGTTGCCTGGAGAAAGACTTCTCGACCTTGAGTATGCGGATGATATTGTCTTACTGTGCGATAATGTCCAAGGCATGCAATCCACACTTAATCGGTTGGCAATCAGTGTCCGTAAGTATGGGTATGTGCTTTGCACCTTCGAAGTGCAAAGTACTTCTACAAGACTGGCAGGATTCCAATCCTGCACTCACCCTGGATGGTGAGCAGATAGAAGTAGTCGAGAAGTTCGTGTATCTGGGTAGCTGCATAAGTGCTAGTGGGGGTGTGAGTGATGAGATCAATGCACGTATAATGAAAGCCAGAGCGGCTTATGCCAATCTGGGCCATCTTTGGCGCCTTCGTGGTGTTAGTCTGGCTGTAATAGGTTAGATCTACAACGCGTCGGTGAGAGCAGTTTTGCCCTATGCTTGTGAAACCTGGCCTCTCCGAGTTGAGGACGTTAGACGACTCTCTGTGTTCGATCATCACTGTCTCCGAAAAACTGCTGACATCCAGTGGCAACACCATGTTAGTAATGCAGAGGTTCGGTATCGTGTTTTCGGGCACAGAGACGGTAATTCAATTGGTGTCGCCATCTTGAAACATCGACTTCGGTGGCTTGAACACGTTCTACGAATGTCGTCCCAGAGGATTCTACGTCGTGAATGAAGTCACTAACTATGTTGGTAGATCCAGACTACTCAGTTGGAGTCCACGTTATAACCACTATTAGTGGTCAAAGGTTTTGGTTAGCACTTCAGTCGTTCACAAAAACGCATATGCATTCGCCGTTTATCTTTCTCTGTATCTGAAATTGCCACATTTTTCCGTCCAAACTTTTTCACTTTGTGCTTTTAAACCGTGGTCCCGAAACCTGTTCTTTTTATGATCGCTACTACATTATTTCGATCTCTTGTTATTTTCACCTCGTGCTAATTAAGTATAATAACTTGAGGCAACTCATATTTGTGTTGGGCTCCATGTTGATAATGTCTATCTGTATGATCACATTAAAAATTAGGTTGCACGGTATATAACTTATTTACCATATTGTCGGTTTTCAAATACTTGTTATTTATTCTATTTTAGAGTGTGGTCTGTAAATTTTGTGAAGGGTACTATGACTTCGGTAGTGAGCAACCAGTGTGCTCATCTTGCCATGCTTTCATTTATGAGTTTAGTTTACCACAAATGACTGAAAATCGTTTATTTGAAGAAAAAGAAGCATCCAATGACAGTGGAAATGAAGAACCAGATAAAGGATCAGATTTATTTGCAGCTGCTTGGAATTCTCCCACTTCAGAAGTCACTTCACAAGATCATGTGCTTGTCAAATCTCGGCCGTCTTGTGCTCGAATTTTTCCAGCTACATGTCCCCTACAACAATCTCATGTTACTACATCCTATGCAAATTACCCTGTAATTGATTACCTATCACCTGTTTCCAATAGGAAGATCAAATCTTGTAGTTCATGTATGTCTCCGAGCCTTGAGGATCTTCCAACTGAAATTTTACTGCGTGTTTTTCTCATGGTAGATGACATATGCTTGTGGTCTCTACGTCAAGCGTCACCCAGATGTCGTGCGGTAATCGATAGTGAGATATCAGAACAACAATGGGAGTCCTATGTATCATTTCGATGGCCGCTCTTTAATCCTAATTGCCGAGTTGAAAGTTGGAGGCTTCTTTACCTCAATATGATGGAGAGTGTTACTTGTAGATTTTGTTTAGAACGTTTACGCTTACCAGTTGTATTCCCAATCGAAGCTCCAAAAGTTCGATATAAACGAATTAAACATGAATTTGAAAACCTATGTGCTGATCCACCTTACGGCATAAAAATTATTACTTTAGATACGGCAACATATTCTCACTTTCTGGCTGGAATCGAAGGTCCACCGCAGTCCCCATATCAAGGTGGATTTTTTCACGTTCTTATTCTCGTTCCTGATAGTTATCCTTTTCGACCACCTGTAATACGTTTTCTTACACGTATATTGCATCCGAACATCAGCTTTCATGGTGATGTCGGATTGGATTCAATCAGGCATAACTGGTGTTTAGCATTGAGTTTAGAGAAGCTTTTAATTAGTATTTTAGCCCTTTTAACTGATCCACATACACGTGTTTGTATGGAACCAGTAATTGGTGCTTTGTATGATTGGGATAAGTATCAGTTCGAAGAATTAGCAAAATTATGGACGTGGAAATTCGCTTGTCACGATTATTTATCGGCTGATTTTGTGTCCGCAATGGTTCTCCCTGATTATATTGAACAAACTCATCAACGTCTTAACTGTAAACAAATAAGATAACTGAAGAAGATTCATCACGCCTCAATACGGATATAAACGTGGTGTTATTTCAAATCAATAAAGCATTCATTTCGTAATTCTACCAATACTTTATGCTCATTATGGTTTTGCTTGCTATGCATGCTTATGTTGTCGTCTTTACATGGATGTAAATAGTGGCATATCATTTGATCAAATGGTTAATATTCCACTTTTATGTGTTCACATTGTATAAGTTCACTAGATTGAACAACCCATTAACAGATTCAAGGATAAATGGTCATATTATTCTCATGGGAATAAATTATAATCTGTAAGTTTTATTTTCGTCTTTATCATAAAATGTATGGTGATGAGTAATAAGATTATTACATATGTAGCTTTTTCCTGTAAAGACTTTGTCATTCAAAAGGATTATTTTCTTTGATTGAAGCCGGACAAACCACAACAAGTAATTGTTTCGTTATAAATTTGAAACTTTTCATAAATTCCATGTCCAATACCCGCTGTTTATGTTTAAGTTTTTCAATATCAATCTCTTTATGACAAGAAGCATCTGATCTATTTTACTTTTCATCGCAAATACTTCGTTTGAGTAATTACTTTCATCATTCTTTGCATTTACTAATTTTTTTAAGTGTTTGTTATTAACTCCTAGCTTTTGTGTATTATTTATTTAGTCTTCTATAGAGAGAACATGTGGGTATTTTTTAAAGTATTTTCGTTTCTCCGATTTACAGCATATATCAGTGATATTCTTATATTTGTTATTCTAAAAGATGTATTGAAATATTTTTTAAAAAGAAATTTCTCACGCATTATGTGTTGGATTTCGCTATTTTTTTTGTTTTGTTCTGATGAGATCTAACATAACTACTAATTGACATCATCTTGTACACAATCACACTCGAATATATTTGCCATGCTCTTTATTAATTCTGTTTCGTTGATTTAACAATATAAATATATCTTTTTTCTTGTTGAAATTATCCCTTATTAACGCCTTTTTTCAAAGGATGAGATGAATACTTTTTACTCACACAATATAAAATTTCATTATTTTCATCTGTAGCTAACTAATATAATATAAAGCAATTTCGGTAAGACTATAATTTATTGATGAATCAATTACTATAAAATAACAGGACTTGGATTTTGTCGCGAAATTCATTCGTCCATTTGGCTAAATAGCGTTTTGGCATTTTAGCTAATGTTGGTTCGTAATGAAAACTTTAAATATAAATCATAACCCTAAACATTGACTGTGAATTATAATTATGATTTCTCACACTGTTTTACAACCCTCATGTGGTCCTAGTTAGTAGGTGGATATCCCCAAGGTCACTTCGGAGTCGTCCATAAATTATATTCTCACTGAAATTTCTACTAAGTAGGCAAAAGCCCTTAATTATTTCATAGGCATTTGATTAACATCACAACTATCATCCGCCTTTTGGGAACGAATAGATGTTCTATTGAATGAGTAAATCCTTTTTATTACTTTCAATGTATTTGATTTCAAAGAATTTTCCAAATCTTAAAAACAACTTTAGTTCATCGAATTGAATTATAATTTCGATCAATGCAACTGGGACTTATCAAAAAATTAAACTTTTGTTACAAGTAGGTATCATTACCAAGGTTTGATCTGATAATTTCGAATAAATTGAGCATCGGGTAGATTGTCATAAATCAATAATATATTTATAATGTCCCATTGAGTAGAAAAAATAGATTTTATGACGTTTCGTGACTTAGTGTAAGCCACTTCTTCAGAGAATAAATAGCCAAATTAAAATTAAGTTTAAATAATACAACCGAACGACACGAATATTATGTGACCAATCAAAAAACAGGTCTGGAAAAATCAATGTCATATCATTTCGGTCAAGGTGATTCATAAGCGACATGTATGTAAACTTATGTGTATGTATGTGTGCATGTAAGGATGAAAATTGTGTGACATTTATGGTGAGAAAGGATAGAGTTTAATTTGTGAGATAATAGTGTGAATTGTAAATAACATCAGACTAGGTGGCTGGGATAGATAGTCCAAGTAGGATGTATGGTAAGGCCTTCTTTTCTACTGAGAGAAGTAGGATTAAGCATTATATGGAACGCTTCAGCTACTCTCCTTTCTTTGTAATTGGAAAAGCCTTTTTGTAATATTTTGATATTTTTAAAATCAATTCGTTGAAAGTTGAAAATGACATGAACTGCTATTACCGACTTAATTTGAAGTCTATCCAGTTCCACGAGATTATTAGGAGGTTTCTTTGTGTACCTAATATGTTCTTTAGCACCAGTCAAGATTTCTCGAGATGACTCTCCAATACAGAGGGCATCACAATCGACACAACTGAATTTATAGACGCAGTTCTGTGTGGACATGAAAGGGATTTTTTCTTTTAAGCGAACTAAAATATTTCAATGTGTGTTCGTCGTTTTGTAATATACTTTGATTCTGTGTTGTTTTAAGATTCCTTGGAGTTCTTCTGTTGTGATATGACGGTATGGTAAAACTACAGTACCAATCCATGGCATTTCTTTCGAATTATTATTATTACGCACAAGTATACGAATATCAAACTTCTGAAGAGCTTGATACTATCCAGAGAATTGCATTAGGAGCATATACATGACTGGATTATAGTAGAAAGTATACTATTGTTATTACATTAAATATAGCTTATTTAAAAGTGTTATGATAATTAAGTAATCCAGAGTACTTCCAAACATCCCATGATATTTATACAAAGTCGGGAAAACACGTGGCGGTCAGTTAAATGTTCATGTACTGTACAAGGCTTATTAACTTTTATATGTATTATATTTTGTGCGTATTAATTTTAAGGGAATTTAGTTACACGGAAGTTATTTGCTATCTTTTTTCTCGATGTGCTTGATTTCTACACTTAAAATACGCTTCAGGTATTTCGGAATAATCAAGGAGTGTTTTTATTTTCCACTCCAAATGATGAATTCATTCTATACATGCATCCTTTTAGTCCTATAAAATTGAGCTACATTTGAGTAACGAGATTCATTAGATGCTAACTAAGTTTTCCATGCATACTCAGTCCTATAAAGCCATGGCAATTGGCAATTGCGATTCGGAGTGTGCTTAAGAAATATATTCAAATGCCTAATTAGGATGTAAGAGTATATGGTGTTATGAGAATCAGCGTGGTGTAAAATATAAGTGTTAAGGCTGACAAGGCCGTTTTGTTTACCGTACTTTAATATCTAGAATTCTCATTACTTTGTAGCAATGATCTTAAAACGCCGAATTTTTCGTACACAAATAAATTGTGCTGACTCATTCCTCGAAATTGTTTCATAAACGTTTTCGAGCTTATGGCTAGTAGGGGAAAAATAATTGTGTTTTAATCACCATACCGTCCATGTATCTTCCCTATCGTATCACTAATTTTGCATCGTACAGTTAAGTCAAAGTGATTGTGTCGTAATGTTGTAATTAATCATAAGTTCCAATTAAGTTTTAGTTTAGTTGAGGGTGTAACATTTCCGAGTAATGACTCGTTTAGTCACAAACAACGTACAATAATGGTATTGTTTCTTTTAAAAGCAGAGTATAGTGATTTTTCCAAGTCTTAGGATAACGATATGCACATTTAGACTTAGTTTTCACTAATGAAGTGGCAATAAATGTAATTTGCGAACGTGCTCCATTTTATAGTCCTGATCGTTGTATTATTCGTGTTTTATACCGTTAATGTGGAGAAAGATAAAGATAATCGCAATGCCAAAGGAAGTAACTGGCGATAAGAATTGTAACTTATGTCAATGACTTTTTCTCTTCTTAAAACAATGGAAAAACTATGGTCACTTCCACTTCAACATGAATTAGAAGAGCATATCGACCCATGTCGGTTTGCTTACAAATGCAAAAGAAGTATTTAAGATGTTGTTGTTATTCTGCGTCATAATATGGTGTTCATTTTGGGAAAGATTATGAATTATCTTTGATGCTCACTTGTGGACTAAACTTCTGCCCTTGACTCTTTTTCAAGACCATCACTACTAAGCAAGTTTACCAGCACCAACACCGACAACTGGATAACCGACTGGCTATGTTCTTACCTCTCTAGAAGAGAAGAGTATACTGTACTTGGAGGAAAGTTTCCGACGTTTTTACTGAGTCAAGGAGGTGTGGTACACGGAACTGTTCTTTTCCTTTCTTTTTTCTCCTTTTTCTGCATGATTTGCTATCTACAGAGAACACTTTCGTTAAGTATGCGGATAATCTCACTGCATGTACACCGATCTATTCTTCTTATGCCCTTGAAACGAATGAATTCTTATTGCTCATTGAACGATAGTCTGTTGCTAATGCTATTACACTTAATCCTTCTGAATGTCAAAGTGTTAATTTTAACCTGAGACGTGAAGAGCACCTATATGCCTTGCTGGAATCCCATTAATTCTGTAGTATTGGAGGTTCTGATATGATGAGAAGAAAAATCAATTTTCTATTGATTTACTTATTATGAGTTTTGTTCAACATTACTTCCCTTCTTATTCAATGTGATGATCATTAACCGTAGTATTTGTTTTGTTTTGTCGCATGGTATTTTATTCTGTATAATATACGATATTCTTGTATTCCATTGACATGAACTATACTCAGTCTACGATTTGTTATAACTGAGTATGCGATTTAATCCTAATTACTAATCAAAATGGGTGTAAAACCAATATATAAACCAGTATATTTTAGACTGTTTTGATCATCGTTCGTCGTCGTGTTTTGGGGCTAATAAATCTTCACTTATACCAGTATTGTGTTCTTACTTTCGCATCGTGGGAATTGCAGAGGTCCCTCGTTCCGAGTATAAGTGATCAGCGACTTTTTCTGGCACAACAATTGCGACGACCCGAACACAACAGATTCTTAATAAAAACAGTCCTAAAGGTTGCTTATCTTGGTGTACGTTTTTCTTTGGCTGTCCCATGTTTTATTGGTATGAAGAAAGTTTTCTTTTTGACTTATGAGATAAAGGCGCTACGTGGGTTCGGCATTTATTGACATGCGCTTCTACGATTTGTGCATTGTTGCATATTACCTGTTATTCTTTATTGTTCCCCATTATTATTTCCCGGGCTTTTGAGAAAAGATTTTGCTGTGTTAAGGAGAATGCTGAAGACAGTTAGCAGAGTGTGTGGTGAATCTTCAGAGGCCATTATGGATATGGTTGTGGATACAAATTTACAGTCTTGCAGTCTCCTGGAAAGTTTTATCGTATTATTTACTAACCATCCACTTCATTCACATCTCTTTGTTAATCCTCTAGTGGAACGGGGTGCCAATCCATCAGAATCTGTGTATACAAGCAAAGGTGTAGAAACTCTGCAATAACTTACCTGGCAATTATACTATGTGACAAACAGTTTGTAAGAGTTGTCATAGTCAATTACTTGTATTGTTAAACATGTCAACTAAAAACTGTAGAGATTCTTATCTTCTTAAAGAACATTTCATTTAATTCTAGGTAGTTTATTTACTTAAGTATGGGGTTATCAGTGTGCAAAGTTATCAATAACCATATTCGATCCTTACTGTCTGATTAAAATACTCACAGGTGAATTAAGAGTATGGCTTTGTGTTAAATTTCAGGAATTTGACGTCCACTGTTTTAAATAAAGTGATTATGAGCTAGTATGCAAGTTTCAGTTCCACAAATCCTTTTGGGAACCCGATGAATATTAGGATACTAGTTAATGTTTTAACATCATCTTGTTTGCTGAGTTCTGATTAACCAACAGCTATATTCGATTTGAGTTCTACATGCCTTTTCCTTCGAAATTTTTGACTTTAAGGACTAATATTCTACATTATCTAAACTCAGGTCTCTGGTTTTCTAAAGATTACTTACTGGAGATTTTCATAGTCGTGGATTTAAACCACGTCAACTGTTTTAAAGTGTTAATGTACTAGATTTCGTTTTCCGCCAATGTATACTTATCCTTTGTTTGTATCTTTGTCGGGTTGATTTGCTAACGAGAAACCAGTACAAGTCAGTTATTGGTTGCTTCAGCTTTAAGTGATCATCGAAGTCAACTAATTAGGAAACAGCGTGTTATATACGATTAAACGATGTGACACTATGCTACATTTCACTTGAGATTACATATTTACTAGGAATCAGCAGAACTCACTGAACTATGAATTTCTTCTTAGTTCCTTGATAAAAATTAATTTATTGTAGATTTGTACCAAAGTCATTCAATGCTTCATGTATAGACTTATTACAAAGTGATTATTTAGCAAATCGATATTCTGCAAGCTATGTTCACCCGCCATTGAAGTGTAACATAAATAAATCAACTAAAGTTCTGTGTACAAAGCAAATTTATGATATATCAGTAAACAATTCAGACTATTATTTTCCACTAAGTTTATGAATTCAATTTGTTACGTGAGAAATATTGGGGTTTTTTTCCATTCACTTATTATTATTCTTTATTGACTATTTCAGCCAGCCAAAGATAAGATTTTATCCAACTTTTTAATTTCAACTTCTGGTCCTTTAACTTGTTCAGCACCTTTCTTTTCCTGGGGAAATTACAGAAAAATGAACATTCATTAATAAATAGAAGGTTGTTACTTCAATGTAATTAAAGTTTTCAAGTGTTGAATGAAAAACGTTCTATCATTTAACAAAACAATCATCAAGAGCTTACGTTATTTAATAGTTTTGGAAGTAATAAAAAATAATAATATATGGAATAAAGGTAAAAATTAGCAATTATAACTTGTAAAATTCGAAGGGAAGCTAAGACTATGGGACAATAAGGGATTGAACATGACTCTTTTGTACACAGAGTTCAAGTTTGGAATGGTGAACTGCTATAGACTCGACTATGTATAAGTTCATCATCCAAACTTTTTCTAAGCCAGTTCTTCTTGCTTTGTAGAATATTTTGAATGCAGATTCGCCTGGTGCGGTGTGACCTGAATTGACCATATATTCGAGAACTGAGTTGTTGATTGATATGTATATCCCTTTAGATAACCATCCATAGTGGTAATCAGATATTCGTTTACAAAGTTTACCAGTTTACTTGCTCTTGTAGAGCATGTTATATTGGCTGTACAAAGCGCGCACTTGTTAAACGTATAATTTTTTTTGTCACATCAGTCTTTTTGTTTTTGTTTGAACCAGTTAAAAGTTAATTCCATCGATTTATAATATTTTATTTTAGAACAATACATAGAAGACACCTATATTGTTTTGAAATTAGATCTTTATCAGGTTTTACTCTCCTATACAATAATATTTAATAATCTAATAGAAAACAATATTGTTCGCTTATATGTGTTGTTCTAATTCATAAAATGGGAATTTTCAATCTATTTTCTTTCATAAAAATTCATTTTGAATGTGTTAATATTATTTTGTATGATCTTAGTCTTGAGTAAAATCGAGTTAAATATTGTTAGTTGTCCAAATACTTCGATAAATAAGTATGAATTAAAATATTGGATAATTGAAATGAACTAACATAATTAATTGTAAATACCGCTCTAAATCATCTGTTTGTTGTTACAGTTACAGTATTAAGTCATTACTGAATATAATTTACAATACATAGTAACAAAAAATAACGGTGTATATTCCATTACTTCTCCTGTGTTTTTTTTTCTTCAGTTACCAATCAAAATGATTATACAAATATATCTATTTACATATGAAATTATGATTTTCACTTCCTCTTTGTAGATCACGTTATTTCAAAATAGAAAAGAATAATTATATGTATATCAACTGATTGCTAGATCATATATATATATATATATATATATATATATATATATATATATATATATATATATATATATATATATATATATATATATATATCAGCCAGCAACAACGTAAAACTTCGTACGTACGTACATCAGTTTAAGTTGCCATACCACATTAGCATAGAGATACAATTGTCGAGTTAACTCCCAAAGTGGTTGAGGTAGTAAGAGTATAAGCAGTAATCGGAAAGATTAAGGTTTGAAGATGTTATCCAAGGAGTATAATACAGTGAAACAGATTTGGAAAGAAAATAAAGGGACATGAAGAATTCAGAAGATTAGAATTTATGAAAACACAAAGAGTGGATGCACCTACGCCACTGCAATCGATTTTGAGCCATTTCATTCAAGGTCTCTAACCATCGGTTTCTATGGTCATGCGGATCCCAAACAGGTAGTCTACACCTACCAACATGGCTCAATTCAATTGTCAGTGACTTCATGGATTTGTGCCATGTTTTGGTCTGGTCGTCCCTAGCTTTCTTCCAACCTACTCCTACACCATGAAACACCGCTCGGCGGAGCAGTGGGTAGTTGGGCATACGTAACACATGTCCCAGCCATATCAACTGATGAAGCTTCATTACTTTGTTTTATTTTGATAGGACTGGTGTTGAGGATGATCAGCCACCACTTACCAACATGTTTAGAATACTTGTTAGAACCCGTTTGTGACTCTTGTAACCTTTCATTTTAAGTAAATATCTCTGAATAACTTTGAGAAGTGTTATAGGGATTTACTTTCAGAAATATTGCTTGCTTATAATGGTAAAAGACTTTGTAATACGATTATTCTTGATATTTATAACATTTTCTTAAGTATTTTAACATGTACGCTTGAGATATAACAAGTTTTAGCTTAGTTTTTATCACCATTACATACCAGCTAAAAATTTACATGAATACCTAAAAGTACTGGACAACTGATTCTCACCATCCTAGAATTACCAATCAAAATGTTTATATGTAGACTATTTCTCTAGATAAAGTAAATATCCTATTTACTTTCCCGATATTTCTTTTGCTGATCAATTGATCATAACAATCAACTCAGGAATTGGATATTGATTCCTAATTTTTTTTCATACCATAAAACGTTGATTCCTTCTAGATTATTTGATTATCACAATGGTTTTTGAAGTATCTAGTTCTAGGACTGAATTGATTTTTTGAAATTTACATTATTGCATGGAATAATCGATAATTATGGTATATATCATCAGAGAACAATAATATCAGCTTCATGATCAATACTTTTCTATTTAAATTCATAATAATTATTTTCCATTAGTTAATTGGTGGAATGACATGTTTTTTGAAGAAATTTGACCTTTGATCTACTAAGAACTTCCAGTTTATTAATGCTAATAACTAATGTACTACATTATGGTTTTTCAAGTTATGATTCATTTGATTTATGTAAGAGGAATAAGATACTCCATAAACTCAGATGTCAGTAAGATATTTGAGTAAAATTCATAAGAAATAGAGATATAATAGTGTGATTACGAAGAATGTTTGTAGGTCAGGCCGGGGTTCTTAAAGTTGTTGCATTCTCTAAGCTGGATGGATTGGTTGTAAAGCTTTTATTCCTCTTCTGATCAACAACATCAACAAGTATTTAGAAAGAAGTGAGATATTAGAATTTACCCACTGTTAATTAACATCATGTTCTTTTGACTTGGAATTCGGTCGGTTGTTATCCATAATTATTTAGTCGTTGATTTTATGTTTCTTTTCGGTTGATTAATATTTGATCAGAGTCCCAGGCTTCTACAAATTCTGTAGCTTTCTTTATGTCCCCTCTACCCAATATTTCAATTTTTTTCGTAGACAACAGATGTCCATATACAAAGATGAGTGAAGTAACGTTGTATCCTTTAACAGTCAACTGGTATTTATGCAGACGAAGAAGGAGGCCACTTCGTCTCAATTGTTGCAATTTATCTCGTACATGAAGTTTGGCTTGTCTTCGTTTTTTATTGTGTATTTCGTATGGTAAAATACTGTTATCAGTTATTTTGTTTACTTACCGGCTACACATGTTTCGAATGATATTAATCCGTTCATTATCTCACAGATGTTCTTCATGTGGGTTAAAACTATGTGATGTTTGCATGAACTAATGATTCATTTGTACTCGATGACTACTTGATTTTGAATTCTATATACAATACGTTCATTCGTGCTTATATAGTTGTTCTTGGTTAAATTGCGTTACTTCTGGGATTCCTAGTTTGTACTATAATTCAAATACTTCTAATTATCAAATATTTGCGCTAATTAATAATTACTTTGTGCACGGCTTCGTTCCTGGATTGAATTCCAAATACAATACGTTAGATTGTGCTCGCGTAGTTCTCTGTGATAGGAATAATGATATATACTTGACTATTAGAGTATGAATTAGACAGTTCTGGGAGTTATTAAATTCAATCATTTCTGATTGCCATAATTGTGCATATTAGATGACTATATTTTAAACGTCCATCATCCCGGGTTGTCATCGTTGAACAACTAGATTCTTCAAGTTAGCAGAAGTTTCGTGGATCGCTTATGCCATCTTTGGTTACCGTCTTAAACTTCTCACAAACTATCCATTTACTGGTCTATGTTGTTTATTGTGTATTTGATCGTCTGTTTGATAAACATTTCTTGATAAAATTTTGTGGGCAGCCATTTATTCGAAGTTAATCTATGAAATATTTTCTTTCATGTCTCTATAGGACGGCGATGCTGCAGTGTCTCTTTACTCTTTTGGGCAGTGCTTGTACAGATCTACATTTGTGGTCTATTGTGCTGTTGATGTTGTAACTAAGTAATTGATCGGAAGTGGTTAATTTCAGGCATATTTGAGACGGGAAAAGACAACCAAGACACTGAAGAACTGTCTCATCCTTGTACAGGACTCAGCAGTGCACATCCACGGTCCACCATGAGGGACTCGAACACAGGACCTTCGGTCTTGGTTGATGGATATCTGTTTCACACAACACGGAGCTCAGTGGTGTCCAAACCATGTCTGGTGTGAGACAAATATCCACCATAGATAATGGATGAAGGGTTGGGTAAGATCATGGATTAATTAACGTTAGATATCAACACCGTTGGGTGCCTGCTCAGTAGTTTAGAGATTAAGCGCACACGAGGCCTAAGGTCCAGAGTTCGAGTGTCGCATGCGGGATCGTAGATGCGCACTGCTATCCTATCCTCCTATACGACCGTCAGGTGCTTCCAGGTTTTCACTAGTGGTTTTGCGTAGGTCGACTCGTAATTTAAATTGTTAAAATTCTAATAACTCACTTCTTTTTAAAGTACTTGTTGATGATGTTGTTCAAAAAATGAAAACTTAACAATCAATCCATCTAACTCAGAGATCACAACAGTCCCAAAAAAGATATGAATACTTTTAAAAATAATTAGATCTCCATCTGTAAATCTAAAGATTATCAAATCCTGTCTATAAGAGATACAGAGACGAAATCTGAAAAATTAAAATTTAAGAAATAATCACTCATCAATTTTTTATGTAACTTCAATAGTTGAGATCATGAGTCAAATGTAGACCTAGACCACCATGAAAAACGTGGAAGCACTGGACGGCTGTTTCGTCCTATTGTGGGACTCCTCAGTAGTGCGCATCCATGTATCATGCAATTTACTTATAAAAGGTCAATTTTTGATTGAACCTACGTTTAGATTATGAGACAATCAAGCGTACAATTTTTCTGTAAATTTTGTTTATATTTACCTTTGGTAATTTGCGTAGATTTGGTGACAGCTTCAAGCTATTCACTTGACCACTAAAAAGGAAGTAAAAAGCATAGTTAATGAGTCATATCCGATTAAAAAATTGACAGTTATTTATATGTGTAACTGTCCATACGTTTGCATATATTTTTAAGTTCTAATGTAAAGGTCACTATAGATATGAGGATTTAGACAAGATATCATTGAGCAGCTAAGATAATCCACTGATAATATAAGTGTTTAATCATTCACTCAACAATTTAGTGAAGCCCTGAACCATATAAATTAGTGTAACTATAATCAGGATTAATAATTCAACCTACCGATAAATAATGTGGTAATGTTTAAACTTAAATTCTTCTGAGGGCTCTGTTTACTTCCAGGTTAATTCTTCACTATATTTTTATAATGAAGTACTTGTTTTTTCTAAGCATCTTAGAGAATTAGAGTTACAATAGTATAACTACTGTATTTGAAGCTTTCATTATGATTCTACTGATTAAGGTCTAAGTTACTAGTAAGTAGCATAAAGATAAAGTTCATCCGGTCTGTGCATATGATTTATTTCGTTGAAGAACTCATAAGTTCTTTTTGTAATTTCTGGAAACATGATCGTTAGCACATATTTGACATGCGTTTAATGGAAAAAAAGGTTTTATTATTGAGTTTACAACCACTAAAAGGCGAGCGACACTATGGATCTAGTTTGAAATCTCTCATCTGCTCATAAACTCTACTTTAATCTGAGTAAAACCTACTACTATCATAATCATATTATCAAGCAGTTTATTTTCCGTGTAAGTAGTTTTTATAAGCACTCATCTTCTGTCCCAATCTTATTAATTCTACAAGTCCAATAGTCGCGAGAAAGGTCAGTACATCACATATAGTGAACTAACTTGTGATCACCGGCTGACGCAACATTGGCTAACTACAGATCAATTTGTTATCATTGTATTTAGTTTGATACAGGTTCTTTCGAGTAATAATATTACACTTTAAATGCTCATTTAATTTTTATTGCTTTCTGATCCAAATTATATTTTTTTAAGTTAACTAGAATATTTTAATGAATCATACTGAAAGTGTTTACCATAATAATGAAAGTTATTATCTATTAAGTAAATGGCATCAGGTTTTAGACCTAAGGTTTCTCGACTTACTAACAAGTGAACCCATATCACTTGTCAGTTGCAACCCGTCACCAATGGCTACCTGGAATTTTGATGAAAATGATGTTCTTGTTTGGTTTGAAATTTATGTCAGCCAGCTTCCTAGTCTGAGACACTCTGAATGAATTTTTTTGATCATGGCTGACTTTCTGTAGGACTGAGATGTTCACATTTATCACTGGGTAGTAACGAATATAAGTTTTCTATAGCTTTTAGTTTTGGGCGAATTGTATCTACCAGGTTGCACTAGTTTAAGTGATTTGGCTTTACGTACACCATGTTCAATATGATGTTGGTCACTGATATTTGACCACTCAATGAAGGAGTTAAACTTCACTGCGAATTTTCAAAGCCAGTAAGATTAATAATTAAATAGTCATTAGCATCATTGGTATTTCTTTAAAATCAACTCATACGGTGAACCTAACAAGTCTAGTAACTATTCATGTAGATTTTTTGATAGTTATTTTGACATATAGATTGATAAATGAAGTTGATGTTGGACATTAAACAAATTACTACTTACTGATCATCACCAACAATAATTATATTATATTTTGAATTAAATGCAATATGCGTTAATTTAGTATTCTTTTTTGTTACCACCAATTGATTACATAATGGTTCATATTTGTTAATTGAAATATCATAAACATGTACACGCCCATCAGCTGTAACTGCTGCAAATACAGTAGATGAATAAGGTGCCCATGCAACATCACCTACTGGTGAGCCTAAATCAAAGGTAAACATTGGAGTACTGCGTGTGTACGTTTGTAAATAAATGCAAGAAAGGGAAGGGGATAAAAGAGAACAGAGAAACAAGAAAGCTTAGAAGAAATCAAAATGTTCATGCATATCAAATATCTTAAATTAGAAATAAACATCATTATAGACAATATAAATACATGTTCCTCAAGTCGCAACAACGATCAATAATTAGGAAATTATTTGTTTCTACAAAACTTCTAACTTTCGCTATTTAGTAGTGGATTTTACTATGAATTTACGAGTTGTGCTTAGATCAAGTACTTTTCATATTACTAATATGTGTGTTTTTAGCAGTCCGAATACTTCTAGTTAACTACAGGTTGTATTCTTCAGACGGATACAGTTTTAGATAAACTTCAAATAAGAGAGTTGCATACTGCTGTTGGTCAGACATACAAATTCCTGGCACATTGATAATGAGAAATTAGTTAAAGTTAAATGAGTTTTAAAATATTTCGTATAGTATAAATTCGTCGGTTAAACCATCTCTAATAGTTCAGTGGTCAATGCAAACTGTAATACGGGAACAAACTTGTGACGATTTTGTCATATATTTCGAAAACTTTAATATATTTAATACGATCAGTTATTCATTCAACTATTTTGATTTTAAAATTGTATTGAGTGAATGCTTTTATAGTGTAGTAGCAGTATAATAACACTAATTTACCATCAAACATTTTTTTAGTTATTTCGATACTATAAACTTCAGGAGTTTTCTCAGAGCACTATGTCAACCACTAAAAACAGACAGTAAATATCAGTCAGGCTATTCGGACATTTTTGCTATAATTCATTTAATAATATGAAGGAATATGCGTGAGAAACTGCTTTAGAGTATGTTTTCTTTTTAAGTTTTCATTCATAATCCAACCAACTACAATACAGTTCAATTGGCTGTTTTTTTACAGGAATTGGGAATATTTAATAAGATCAAACAATCACTATTATGTTTAGATTATACCAATTTCGAAATCCAGTTGAAGTTAGACATTAACACCGTTGGATGCCGGCTTAATGGGCTAGTGGTTAAGTGCTCACGTGCGAGACCAGTAGTTTCTGGGTTCGAATCCTGCGAGGCGGGGTCGTTGATGCGCACCGCCGAGGAGTCCCACAAGGGAACGAAACGGTCGTCCAGTGCTTCCAGGTTTTCCATGATGGTCTAGCTCCAGTTGACTCATGATCTCAACAATTGAAATCCATTTTATTATCTGCAATACATATTGGTAATCAAATAACGTGTAGAACATTATAATCTCTCATGACAAGGTTCACATATCATATTACCAAACTCATTCACATACAAAGCCTGTTATTACAGTTGGTAATAAACTGGGGAGAATGATATTTGAGACATAAATCAATAACAATGATACCAAACTTTTCCTTAATAAACCCCTGCATTTTATATCTGTTAGCTTATTCCCAAGGTAAATAATATATACTTACATAAAATAGTTTAAAATACGAAATGGGATTTAATCAGATTGTTATAGAACTGTACCCTTTAATGAAAGAGGATCCTGTGATGAACAATGCATTTTCATGAATATTTAAAATCATTTGCCTATTTTCAAAGTATTTCTGAAAGCTTGTGTTTGATTTACAGTTTTTTAGGATCATACCTACATACTACTATGGAATATCAACTTTACAAAATGCTGATTCTGTTAGAAAACTAGAGTTAGCACACTAACAGTTAGATTTTAATCTTATTTCTAAAATACAGATTAATAATTAATATAGCAAATAGATATAAATATATTCATTTGGGTAAAGTATCAACTTTCAAAATATTATCGGGTAAAAAGCACTACAATTAATATTTGCACTTTTATAGATTGATAAAAATATCACCTTGGTTATTAGTACATTCATAAAACGAGTATTACGAATCAAAGTTGAACAAGGTCAAGCTAATGATTGTTTAAACTGTATTGGTTAACTATGTGTACAACTGTCAAGTTTCATTCCATTTCGCTCTATCTAGTTTGAAAACAGTGACAGAAAACATCTTGAAAGAATGTATGAAGTCAGATAGAATGGATTATTTGTTTTATTCATTTATACTTGAGCTAAAATTTGTTAAGTTACTGTTTCATACATATCCAATTGCTTCTATAAAACCATACATTTTGTGTCTATAAAACGAAAATGTGATATGTCGTATAGCCTTATTAACTTCCATCTAATTTTTATATTTTCAGAGTAAAATGATATATATCACTAAACACATACAAACACTTTTTACACAATGTAAATGTAGAACTTTACATAGGGATTAGTAACTAACATACGAAACACTGAATAATACCAGACAAAACCAGGCTCACGTGCTGTTGAACCAAAATATGTTTGAGCAAAACAGAATGGTGTCACAAGGGCCTATAACATGCTTAGGTCATATATGAACGTACTGAAACTAATATTTGTTCATTATGTTACAATAACAGTATACTTAGCAAATATTTGCAAAAAAATAACACATTTGATCCCATGATGACCGGTACATTTGAACCACTGATAAGTTTCAAGGAAATTTTAAACAACTATCAAACATTCTGAGGTTTCCAACAGTTATTTAACTGATAGGCACCTTTTAAAAGCATAGTTATATAAATAGTAGATTAAATGAACGATGCAGTAGTGTTGTTGTAGTGTTCATGTTTAACTTATAAATAAAAAATTCCTCTACGTAGGATTTTTGTAATTTGCCACAGTCTGTATTTAATGTTCTGATATGCGATAAACTATTTTATAACTTGATAAGCAAAGATGGATGGTGGCAATCAAAGGAAGCCAGGGACTCAACTACTGAGTCCTGATAGTCACATGTTTGTGCAGTGGGGTGAAATTGAATTAACTTGGTATTGTTTGCTTGCATAACGCGATCGCGTTTGAGGCGAAAGGAACTGGGTTCGAATCCCAGAATGAACATCAACTCCGGGATGCAGATACGTCCAGCTGAAGAGTCACAAAGAGAACGAAACGCGAGTCCTGGATTCTACTGATTGCCACTATCCATCTTTGCTTATAAAGCTTGTGACCTAAGGCAATATCGAGGCAATCCGCACAGGGTGCACATATGCCTATAAGAGACTGATCAATTACAGTCCTGAACAACAACCGGAATGTACAAGCAAACAATACCAAATGTATTTTATAACTTGGTTGTAATCACACTGGTTAGTTTTAAACAGTTGGAAATGTGATAAGTTGAACACTAAGATCTAAAATTCACAATACAAAAGCTTTTAATACATGATAGCTTTATTCGTTTACCACATCAAAAATAAACAGGAAATGAAGTAATATCAGGAGTTGAGATCATGAGTCAGTTGAAGCTAGACCACCATGGAAAACCTGAGAGCACTGGACGACCGTTTCGTCTTATTGTGGGACTTCTCAGCAGTGTGCGTCCACTACCCCACCTATCGGGATTCGAACTCAGGACCTATCAACTTCGCGCGCAAATGCTCGCCCTCTAGACCACTGAGCTGGCCGGTATCCAACGATGTTAGTGTTTAACTTCAACTAATCCACGAAATTAAGTGGCACATCCACCACTGTCATCAGTGAGTTACAATCTCACAACAAACCCGGTTGAACTCCACTGGTCACTGCTTCTCACTAGAACTCCAGGATATACCTCTTAACGCCAGTCACTGATTTCAGTGGACTATCTGTCATTAATGGTAAACTTTCAGATTCTGAGCTACATAATCAACAGAAGTTCACCCAACCAAGCACAGTTTAAATGCACATTCCAATTTATCACCCATTTTCATATCTACATGTCAATAACTGACCACCTTTCCATTTTTCAGAGGTAATCGAGGTGTTGTGATACTATTTTCAGTAACGAGACCGCTTGGATGACCCTAAAAATGCACGCAGTACATTATGTTCAATATTGTTGACCCGTTTCACTGCGTAATAAAAGCTATCCTTCTTATTTTTACATAAATTGTTTCTGTGTGATGTAGAAATTCAGAACATAAATAATGATAACTGAATATAAATTTCTATCAACGGTACTAGATAAAGAACAGAATCTCGTATACTCAATTGTTGGTTAGTTGACATTCAGTGTATCTATCATTGAAAATAGAATTCAGTTGTCTCTGATTAGCTTGTGCTTAACTGGCACTGGAGTTATATATATCAAATTTATCTGAACTTCCGATTGTCAAACTCCGCCTGTAGCTCTTCTAGAGTTACTGCCGGTCCCAAGCCCGGGTAAAGGAGGAGGGTTGGGCATGGGGTTAGCGTCCCCATCCCGTAGAAAACTAACTCGCTAGAAAAACGCTTATCAGAAAAAATAATTCAAACCATTTTAACTCTGCCCTGGGAGTTAGAAGGTCTTCTTTTAGAAGAATTATGACGCTTCATGGTGAAAGCCGAGTTCCTTCGGAAGCCACGAGGCCGATGCCCCTTCTAACAACCAGAGCAAAAAATTTTATAGGTACATTGAACGTCCGAACAATGTGGGAGACCGGGAAGACCAGTCAAATAGCAACGGAAATGAGGGGATACAACTTGGCAGTACTGGGAATCAGCGAAACCCATTGCACCCAAGCTGAACAACAAAGGCCAAGTACGGTAGAGATGCTGTTATACTCCGGGTACCAAAAGAAAAATGTTCCAAACACTCAGGGACCTGCTCTAATGCTGTCCAAAGTAGCACGTAATGCACTTGTAGGATGGGAATCTCACGGATCCAGAATCATCAAAGCATCATTCAAAACAAAGAAGGAGGGGATCTTAATGAATATTCTCCAATGTTATGCACCCACCAATGATAGCAACGACGACATCAAAGATCAATTCTACGAGCGGCTGCAATCAATCATAGAGAAATGCCCAAGAAAGGAACTCATCATTCTGATGGGAGATCTAAATGCCAAAGTCGGAATAGACAACATCGGATATGAAGATATCATGGGACGACATGGACTGGGAGAGAGCAACGAAAATGGAGAAAGGTCT